GGAATGGGAGAGCCGGACCCGAACGCTGGCCAGGAGCACAGGGCTCTGGGCAGCCTCTCTCCCCGTGCCGCGCGCACTCACCCGTCCTCGATGAGCATCGGCGTGCCGAGCGGCTCCAGGTCCTCCGCTGACACCAGCTGATTGATGAGACTGTGCGACTGGGGGTCCAGGCTGCGCGGCTGGGGGGGCATCAGAGCCGAGTGAGCAGAATAGCTAAAAAGGTGCGGGAGGTACTGATAGTGCGTGGACACCGGCGTTCCGATATACTGATCCCTGAGTGCAGCGAATCCATTCAGCTCCACGGACCTACTGGAAAAGGAAAAGCTTTTTAACATACTCCCAAAATTCCACCTGATTCATTAAAACATTGCATCCAGCTCCATCAGAACGTTAATAAAAACAGGGAGGAAAGAAAACAGAGTGGAAAACACCTTTGTATTTAAACCCTACCCTGGAAATAACAGAGCGTGCGGCCCAGACGCCTTACACGTGCCCACGCTGAGCCTGGCCCGGCTCTTGTCCCGCTCAACGGAGATCTGGGATCTGCGGCGGAGCCGCCGTTCGGGGAGTAAGGCAGAAACCCAACTGTGCGAATTTCCAGCCCTGCTCCCTTGAAGGGCCAGTACTAACGCCACCAATTAGCAACCTAAACAGAGTAATTTGTCTTCAAGATCTCAGCACAGTGCAGAAGAAGAGCTTATGCTGAATGAGAAGTGAAAGATAATCAAGTTTCCATGATCTGCAGAAAAAAATGACAATGCAAATTAAGAGATGTATTTTAAATATAATTTTAACTCCATATCGCCTTTCTTTTCGTTTGCTCGTGAGCATTTCACCGCCCAGTTCGGCTCTTTCCAACCCAGTGGCTGTCGTTCTTAGAACATAATTAGAGATGTAAGAACCTGCAGTACGCTCAGTTTACACAAAGATGCACTCACGGTGTATGTTTCCTACACTGACCCAAAGTATCACTCGGGGAAAGACAGTCAAGATTACTGTCATACGAAATTCTTCCGGAGCACATTCCCACCTTGAAGATGGAGTAGAAACGGGTGAAGGCTGGTTGCTCTCAGAAACTCCATTTCCAGGGGAACTATGGTCACTGTCTCCGTTGTTGCTCCATGACATGTTTGCCTCTCCCTCAAATTCTTGCCCAGACATAATTCTCTCAATCTCTTCCTCTGATATCTGCCAAAGACAGGACCATTACGGTTACTTCAGCTGAGAACAGAAACAAGGCAGAGCCTCTGTACACAAACACCTTGACCGTACGGCCACATCCAACAGCGCTGAAGCTGCCCTGCACCAGGAGAAACGCCTTCCCACTCCACAGATATCATGTCTTTCCTTTATGTTCAGCAACGTACATGAAAAATTCTATTTACAGCTAATTGTGGTGACCTCCCGTTCCTGCAGTACAATTCAAGTGACGATAACACAGCAGACAGGAACGGACATATGAAAAGATGATGTCAAACACACACAGCAACGAGCCGTAAATCAGCCACTGTCACGCAGTGAAAAACCTGGGAGTAATTGAGGCTGGTTCATCGGGAACATCACTCAGTACATGGCAGAGGTAAAGGCAAATGGAAGGTGGGGCAGGCTCTGGTTTGATAAAGCAACTGAGAGAGGCAAGGTGACACATAGAAAATTAGTCAGGAAACTGTTTACCAGGAATTGCTCTTCACTATTTCTCCCCAGAAAAGAACCAGGTGGCACCTAAAGAAGCAATCAAGCATCTAATACTTAAAACGAGTATTAGAGAGTAAAACATATGAAAATAAATTGGACTTAAAAAAAAAAAACACACCAAAAACTGAGTTCACTTAAGCATAAAGTTTCAAAAGTGAGCTGGGTACGCTCCTGGAGAAATATTGCATCAGTAGCAGGGAAAATGGAACACAAAAGTTTCTGGCCTCTTTTTTTTTTTTAATTCTACGCATGTCCCTTAGCGAGGCTGTCACAAAATATCGCAAGACCTCACGTTAACGTGCTGCAAGAAAGTGCTCTGAACTCTGAACACCACTTTCAAGAGCCAAACGTTGCTTTGACAGTTTATTCCTGTCTTGCAGTAGTGTCAGAAAAACTCTGTGAGCTTGAAGAGTGCAATAGCTGAATAGTCTCACGCCAGGAAACGGAGTTGCTGGCATAACCCAGGGTCCGACACTGCCCGACCACACGAGTGCCAGAGGAGCAAGGGCCCGCACGGGCTAGCACAGGGTGCTGGTTTACTACAGCTACATTGCTCAGAGAGGCAGCAAAAATTGTTACCTGGCCAGAAATTAAATCTGTTCTTCAATAGACCCACACAGGCTTCAAGAACCAGTAACTATTGCTGTTACAAGTATGATGTTTGCAAACAGCAGAAAATGTTCCATCATTACTAACAGATTTTTTTGTTTGAGCGAGGCTCTGCCTGATGCTGACCGCGGGCACGGCCGCGCCGTCTAATTCCTGCCTTTTTCCTGGCTTCGCTCTGGAGGGACGACACCGAGCGAGCAGGGCAGCTGGCGGCTGCTCACGGTTTGGTGTTGGACTGAGGCAAGCAGCACAGAAAATGCTTTCAGTGATATTTCTGCTTTATTAAAATAAACAGTAAACTTTTAAAAGAGCTCTTTTCCAGAGGCGAGCTGGGAAGGGCCATCATTTCTCACGCGTGCGGTACGAGCCGCTGTGCTGAATTACCTCGCGCTTTACAAGACGCCTCCAGCCAAGCTGTGCCATCCATCAGCCGGACATTTACGGGGTGCCCCCGCCTGCCGCGGCTGAAGGAACCGCAGCGGGCGGCCCGCGAGATTTACTGGGAGCTGCCGAGGGGACGGGCGTCCTTGTGCGGCTCACAAAGGACGGGGAGCCGCGATGGCCGGAGCGTGCCCGCGGATTCACGGGCACCCCGGGACTGCGCCGTGTTCCCTGCGGGGACGAGTGAATGCCAAGCTTTATTTACAAACCTGCTGTTCATGAGATGTATTTCTAACACTTGCAGAGTGCCAAAGCCCTGCTACGCCTGCAGAAGGCACAGGTGGGGCTGAGAGAGGCTCAGCCAAAGGAACCCTGGCCCCATCCCACGCCCAGCGGCTGCCACGGTCCCAGCCCACCACCTGCGAGGCGTGTGCCATGGCCAGGAGAGCAAAAGCTGAAGGAAACCGTGGGGAAAGGGCCGGACATGCTCACCTGGACAGGTCCGATGCTTTTGTTTCTGCCTCCTGGCATGCCATCCTCTCTGATTGCTGAAAGAAAACAACCAGACCTTGGTGAGGAACGCTGCTGTTCGGTATCCCAGAAATACAAAAGAAGGTATCTGCTGTTTTTAAAAAAATCTTTATACCCTAAAAAGATTCATTTTGCTCATCAGAGCAGTTTACACAGAAACCTCCCGTGCTTTCCAGGGCACTGGAGAGCTCGAGCAGTACACACCGTGATCCTCACCCCGAAGGGCAAGCACGCATCGGCGGGGCCGGACGCGGTACTGAGGGAGTTTAGTTTCTTCTTGTGACGTTTCAGGGACAGGTGAAGAAGGAACATCAAGTCCTTTATCGCAATTAATTCCAGAATAATCTGAGAAGTGGCACTCAAAGCAACCCTACTTCACCCCTGGAAATAACCCAACGAATGCCCACGGCTGCAATGCGCACACCGGTGTTTCTAACCCCTCTGCCCACCGCCCTGCGACACCCCCCGAGGCAGACCCCCCTGCAGAGACACCGACCGGCGCTGCCA